TCCACGTTTGCTACTATGTGAAGTCTGTAAAAAGTCTCCCCGTAGGTGTAGCATTACTGCATCTCATGCTATAGCCCATCTGACACAAACACATGAACAGAGGTCGAGATCACGGTCTTCATCACCTGATCTCAGAGCTCTCGCATCGACATTTCCCCCCGAAACCTCCTCACAGGCTTCACAGCCATGCACCGCCGCTCGCAGGAAAATCCCACCCAAATCTTTGGCCTTCTTTGGATTGGAGGATTTTCACAGGATTTTCATGGGATATCAATCCTTAGGATTGTTTCCTATGAAACGCATTTGGATCAAAGGATTGAGCCATTAAAATTCCTCAGGATTGGGTCTCCAAGGTGCTGATTCCAAAGGAATTTACACATGAGGTCTGGCCTCTGGAAAAAATCCATAGGATTGGCTATGTCATGGCAATCAAATCCTCCATTTTTTCTATTCCTTTGTTTTATAAATCCTGTGATCCGAAGAAGCCCTTTCTTGTTAGGATTTGCCTGTTGCTGCTGCTGCATCTGCTCCGTATCATGCATGCGACACCGGGACACGCATCTCATCTCATACCCTCGTATCCCGCGTATCTCCGCCCCGCACAAACAAACCAACCAGGCCGAGAAATTTAAAGCTCACATGGGGTGTAGGTACGTACGCGCGCGTGCTCCGTCATCATGCCACTCCATCCATCCATCCATCCATCCCCGGCCGGCCGGCCCCAGCCACGCAACGGCGCGAGAGAGAGAAAAGAAGACGGACGCACCTGCAGGTCCAAGGAGGAGGCGTACTGTGCGCGTACAGCTAGCTAGCGCACGCGATCAGGCCGGCGTGACACGGAGAGCCGGGGAAGGACTCATGTGCCGAGTTTGGGGAGGAAGCGCATGTGGCCGCCACGTGAGCGCGCCCACGCCGCCCCTTCCTTGCCTTTTCCTCAAAAGCACGCACGACACACTCCTCCGCCTCGAGAGACACCAAAATTCCATGGACGGCTCCATATGCCAGCACCACCATTACCATGGATGCTGCCTATGCTAAGACGGGAGAATTACATTTACCCGATGGTCACCGATATGGCGATGTCGTTCTCAGCATTGCCCCATTTTCTACCATCGATGATGTCGGTGTGGCGGGAGGGTGTCCCATCTGCGCTAGCTAGCTTTTGGTGCCTGCCTACACATGCTGGCGGAACATGGCCGGCCATGCGCTGAACCGGTTGCCAAGCCATGACAGCCCATGCGCGCGCGGCCGGCCGGCGACATGCGCATGCCAACGCACCTACGTTTCCCTCATCACTCGCGGGGTTGCCAACCCGGGGGGCGACGCTACATGTGCCGCCATGTGCTCCGCCTGCCCGTCGTGTTTGCCTGCCCCTTCTGGGGCCCGGTCTCCGTCCGCAGCCTCCGATCACCGATGAAACGGTTTAAGAGCACGGATCTGCGTACGGCCATCAGCATTCAGCACCCGCATTGTGCACATTCGTACATAATATGCTGTACTTTTACAAGCCATGTTGCACGCATACATAACATGCGTTTCTTGAAAGGATCATGGCAGTGTGGCATTAAGAAAATGCAGAGAAATCAGATACGGGGATACTCCTACCTTGTACTCCCCAACTCGAGCGTCAGCCACATGCGCGCATGTTCAATTATAAAGAATCCGAGCTGTGCATTCATGTTCTGTGCAAATCCCTGATACGTACTGCTGCTATCTAGTTAACCTTTTTCCAAGCTTAAACAGGATAGGCTGGCGTTGCATGAGAAAAGAGGCAAAAGACGCCTGCTATTGGTCACTCGCAGGACCACGGCCCAGATGGCCGCAATGCATGCTAGCTCACACCGCATGTGCGTGGCGGCATGCCATCTTGCGCTCTTTTCGTCCCAGACTCGCGGATATATATTCACGCACACAATGTCAGAGCCAGACACACAACAATTTGGCTAGGCAGAGTGCATCGACATCGAGGAGGAGTCCATTGCTCGAGCAGAGCAACGGCAATGGGGGCCCCTACCAGCAGCACCAAGGCCTTCAAGCAGGGGTTCCTCAGGAGCTTCCTCCTGAGCCTGACATCCTGCAGGAACGGCGCCATGGGCCTGCAAGAGAGGAAGCGTGCCGTCAGGTCGTCCGCCGACATCGCCATGGCCACCACCCGCGGCAGCGGAGCCATGTGGCCGCAGGCCCTCCTAGCAGCAGCATCGTCATCATCGTCGCCGTCGTGGAGTAGGCGGTTGCCGGCTGCAGCCACGGCGAAGACGACGACGAGGCGGAAGAACATGGCGAGGAGGCGCTGTCCCCAGAGGAGGACGACGACGAGCAGCGGCGAGATCGCGAGGAGGCTGGTGAGGAAGCGGACCAAGGTGCTGCGGGGGATGGTGCCCGGCGGGGAGCTCCTCGACGGCGCCTCGCTGCTCCGCGAGGCCATGGACTACGTCGTCCACCTGCGCGCGCAGGTCGCCGTGCTCCGCCGCGTCTCCAACGCCATGCAACAGAGACCGTCGTCCATCCACATGGCAGGTCCGTTCCATTCTCCCCGATTTCTCATGTCTAACCATGTGATTCACTTTGACTTATCATGATGATTCGTGCAGGGGCTGTTGCACCACCAGTGCAGTTGAAAACAGAGACGACCGGAACGGCTCAACACTCGGAAGGAAACGAAGAATAGCGAGATCGCAGTCGCACAAATCAGGAGCCTCCGAGGAGCGTGTGCAGAATGGCCAAGATCATGTATTGTTCAGAGGCATGCATGAGATCTAGGATCTCGGAACCGGGAGGTAGGACAAGTGTTAGCAGCGGCTAGTTGTAGTGTCAGCGAGGCAAAGAAATTTTTGGGTGCACTAATTTATGGGAGTACCTAAAACTCATCTAGATGAGATATAATTTGGTCTCATTCATTTTGAAAACAAGAACAAATACAACCCACGTCAGCACACACGCATCTTATAGCATCACATCCAATTACTATAAAAGGTGAATGAAACCAAATTATATCTCATCTAGATGAGTTCTGGCAAAACTGCTAATTTATGGCCAGCCGGGAAGATATGCAGGTGCTGGGAATTCCCAGCTGGATCATGCTTGTGAAAATGGAGTTGAAATTCGGGTTGTATTCGCTTCGGTTCATGCTGGCGCGCATTTGATTTCAAACTGTTGCCTGCCCATTTTGATTTGTTTGTTTTTCTCCTCTATAATCTGATGTCAAGATCTTGCCCTCGGCAACGAAAAATTTATGTCATCCCCTTGTTGGCGTTGTTCTCGTGTTTATGTTCTAACCTTCATTGGAGGGATTCGGTATTCCGGATGAAAACTCTTATCCTACTTTCAGTATTAGCTAATCTGGTCGTTGTGTTGTTTCAGCTTAGTTTGTTTTTTCCGTCAAATAAACACGTAGGCATGAGCCGCGACGTGTGTGTGTGCCATGCACATAGTTTTGTATGGGCCAGTAGCTTGACGTGGTCACGTCATTCGACCCGCTAGTTTCGCAGGCGACCTAGGAGGCACGATCGGTTCTCGTGGGATGGCGCGAGTCCTGCGGATCGTGGCGCGTAGTTAGGATTGAATAAATAGAAGAGAAAGAAAAATAGGAAAAGTCGCAACATTGGCACGCGACGCAAAACCACTATCTCCCCTGTGGTTGTGAGATTAGCCAACCTAGTTTCCTAACAAGTGATATCAGAGCCTCGTTTTGCAATATCGGCGATCATGTCCGACAACGGAGAGCTGCCAGACCAGGAGGCAGCTGCTGCAGCGGCAGCGTCGGCAGCACCCCTCAACAGAGGCAGGGTGTGCCGAGCCGCTCGGCGACTCCACCACGGGAGCATAGCTGCGAGCGTAGTCATGTAAGGCGGGAGCGGCAGGTTGTCACCCACCAGGCGGCTGCCAAGGAGCGCGCACCATTCGTGCCAGGCACGGGCACCATGTTCCCAACACTCACCTCCACGAACTACATCGAGTGGTCGCTCGTCATGAAGGTGCACCTGGAGTCCTGGGGACTCTGGGACGCGATCGAGGGCAATGCGTAGCACGTGCGCGACGACAAGTCGGCGCTCGGCATTCTTCTCCGAGTCGTTTTGCCGGAGATGCTCGGTGTCCTCGTCGTCAAGGAGACGACCAAGGAGGCCTGGGATACCCTGAAGGTCATGCACATGGGACTGAGCCGTGTGTATGAGGCCACCGCGCAACAACTCCGCGCGGAATTCGAGCAGATCACCTTCCACGCGGCGAGTCCCTCGACGCCTTTGGGATGCGCATCACCGGCCTCATCAACCAGTTGTGCACCCTCGGCGACAATGTCGAGGAGGTACGTGTCGTGCAGAAGCTGTTGCGTGTGGTTCTGACGTGGCTAGACTGCGCCGGTATTTTTCCCAGAGAGGAAGGAATGATGCAGCACATCTACAATAAGTATTTTCCTCATTTATGAAACCAAGGTATCAATCCAGTAGGAGAATCAAGCAAGACAACACGTGCACACAAAGAATAAATATTTGTAACCCGAAGCAGGGGTTTGATGCGTCTCCAACGTATCTATACTTTTTGATTGTTCCATGCTATTATATTATCTGTTTTGAATGTTTCATATGCATTAATATGCTATTTTATATTGTTTTTGGGACTAAGCTATTAACCTAGAGCATCGTGCCAGTTTCTGTTTTTTCCTTATTTTAGAGTTTCACAGAAAAGGAATACCAAACGGAATCCAAACAGAATAAAACTTTTGCGATGATTTTTCTTGGACCAGAAGACATCCAGAGGACTTAGAGTGCAGGTCAGAGAAGCCACGAGGCAGCCACAAGGACGGAGGTTGTGCCCAGGGGGGTAGGGCGCACCCCACCATTGTGGGCCCCTCGTGACTCCATCGACCTAGTTTCTTCGCCTATATATTCTTATATACCCCAAAACGGATAGAGAGAGCCACGAAAACACTTTTCCACCGCCGCAACCTTTTGTACCCGTGAGATCCCATCTAGGGGCCTTTTCCGGCGTCCTGCCGGAGGGGGATTCGATCACGGAGGGATTCTACATCAATACCATTGCCCTTTCGATGAAGCGTGAGCAATTTAACACAGACCTACGGGTCCATAGCTAGTAGCTAAATGGCTTCTTCTCTCTCTCTTTGATTCTCAATACCATGTTCTCCTCGATGTTCTTGGAGATCCATCCGATGTAATACTTTTTTGCGGTGTGTTTGCCGATATCCGATGAATTGTGGATTTATGACCAGCTTATCTATGAATATTATTTGAATCTTCTCTGAATTCTTATATGCATGATTTGATATCTTTGCAAGTCTCTTTGAACTGTCGATTTGGTTTGGCCAACTAGACTGGTTTTTCTTGCAATGGGAGAAGTGCTTAGCTTTGGGTTCAATCTTACGGTGTCCTTTCCCAGTACAGTAGGGCAGCAAGGCACGTATTGTATTGTTGCCATCGAGGATAAAAAGATGGGGTTTTCATCATATTGCTTGAGTTAATTCATCTACATCATGTCATCTTGTTTAATGTGTTACTCTGTTCTGTATGAACTTAATACTCTAGATGCATGCTGGATAGCGGTCGATGTGTGGAGTAATAGTAGTAGATGCAGAATCGTTTCGGTCTACTTGACACGGGCGTGATGCCTATATTCATGAGCATTGCCTTAGATATCGTCATAACTTTGCGCTTTTCTATCAATTGCTCGGCAGTAATTTGTTTCACCCACCATAATATTTTCTATCTTGAGAGAAGCCTCTAGTGAAACCTATGGCCCCCGGGTCTATTTTCCATCATACAAGTTCTTTTTCCATCATACAAGTTCTAGTTTCATTCATATTAGTTTTCGATCTACTATTTTGCAATCTTTTACTTTTCGATCTATAAAACAAAAATACCAAAAATATTTACTTTACCGTTTATCTATCTCTATCAGATTTCACCTTTGCAAGTAACTGTGAAGGGATTGACAACCTCTTTATCGCGTTGGGTGCAAGTTGTTGTTTGTTTGTGTAGGTATTCGGTGACTTGTGCGTTGTCTCCTACTGGATTGATACGTTGGTGCTCAGAACTGAAGGAAATACTTACTCTACTTTGCTGCCTCACCCTTTCCTCTTCAAGGGAAAAACCAACGCAAGCTCAAGAAGTAGCAAGGTTTTCAATCCCTCCTCCGTAAAAAGATAGATAAATTTGTATGAGTTTGGGTAAATAGATCTGAACGAGGCACGAAATAAAATAAATAAAGGAAAAGTGCAGCAAGGTATTTTTGGTTTTTTGGAATAATAGATCTGAAAACAAATGCGGCAAAAAACAAATCGGAAAGCAAATATGATAAAAGATAGACCCAGGGCCGTAGGTTTCACTAGTGGCTTCTCTCGAGAAATAGCGCATGGTGGGTAAATAAATTACTGTTGGGCAGTTGATAGAAGAACACATAATTATGATGATATCCAATGCAATGATCAATATATAGCTATCACATCCAAGATTAGTAGACCGAAATGATTATGCATCTACTACTATTACTCCACACATCAACGGCTATCCAGCATGCATCTAGTGTATTAAGTTCATGGAGAAACGGAGTAATGCAATAACAATGATGACATGGTGTAGACTATTTAGGAACGTAGTAATTTCAAAAAAAATTCCTACGCACACGCAAGATCATGGTGATGCATAGCAACAAGAGGGGAGAGTGTTGTCCACGTACCCTCGTAGACCGAAAGCGGAAGTGTTAGAACAACGCGGTTGATGTAGTCATACGTCTTCACGGCCCGACCGATCAAGCACCGAAACTACGGCACCTCCGAGTTCTAGCACACGTTCAGCTCGATGACGTCCCTCAAACTCCGATCCAGCCGAGTGTCGAGGGAGAGTTCCGTCAGCAAGACGGTGTCGTGACGATCTTTATGTTCTACCATCGCAGGGCTTCGCCTAAGCACCGCTACAATATTATCGAGGAGGACTATGGTGGAGGGGGGCACCGCACACGGCTAAGAGATCAAGAGATCAATTGTTGTGTCTAGAGGTGCCCCCCTGCCCCGTATATAAAGGAGCAAGGGGGGAGGGGGCAGCCGGCCAGGGAGGAGGCGCGCCATGGGGAGTCCTACTCCCACCGGGAGTAGGACTCCCTCCTTTCCTTGTTGGACTTGGAAAAGGGGGGAAAGAGGAGGGAGAGAGAGGAAGCAAAGGGGGGGCGCCGCCCCCC